AGATGTCAAAATAATGTTTAAAATGCTACATCAGATGCTGTCATATGACAACGTCTTTGGACATACTGTTCCCTGTCCTCCACAAAACACATGTACATTTAAAGCAAATGTGAATCCATACAAACAATAAAAGAAGTATAAAATGAATTTTGAAGATGGAATATAAAAGCTCTTCTTGGTATTTCATAAATTTTACATCGTCTAATAAGAAATAATCTAAGATTTTTCACAATCTATTTTAGCTTTACTTACAAATTTCATGTACCTTATTATAAAGGCTATTCAAACAACTGGGAAAGTAGATCTCTAAAATATAGTTGACTGAGAGATTTGACAGCTATATAAAATTCTTCCTACTGTTACTTAAATCACAATGTGGATATATCAGTAGAGAAAATAGGTATTAAATGTAATGGTTATGTATTATTGAAAGTAAAAATCAATATTTTGAAGTCTGAGTTTAAATAAGCTCCACAGGACTTTATTTTATAAGATAATTGCATTTAAGTTTTAGACCATTCTTTCATTTATGATTTATAAAAGGTGAATCTACTATTTTAGGAGCTAGGTGAGGTTTTAAAATAAATATTTAGAAGCTCCAAAAGGCATTTCGCTGTCAGGAAAGGAACCAGATTTTTAACTAACAAAAGAATCTATTTATAATCAAGTTCTGAATAGTTTTTTGTTCAGGTTGCATTTTGAGTAAATGCAGACAGAATTGTTTCATGGAAATTCGGAAGTATGAGTGTGTGTCTGATACAAGACACGTAACTTGGCTTCTGAAAAAAATGAATATCCACATAATATTAGGACACAGACATTCCTAATGTTGGAGTCAGTGAGCAGAGATTGTAAGGGACATGTGATTATGCCAAACTATGATCAAAGGTGATTTTTCTCTTTGGGTTTATAGCTGGCTGTTTATGTGACTCCTGAGAAGTCTGGATGAGAAGAGAATTTTCTTTGTTTTCTTTGTTGTTTTTATTTTGATTCATTTGAGTCATCATTTTGAATGCATTTTTCATCAGATCTTGACAAATCTCTTTGGGCTATCTTATGACTTTTGATTTTAGAATCTAAAGATTGAAGTATTCATATTTTTCCTTTATAGATGTCCAAAGGGAAGAGCTACTAAAGCATTAGTTAATTAAGAAGCCACACTTCACTTACAAAGGATTATCAGGTATATTATGAGACTAGGCTCATGTTTAAGTGTTCTGATAAACTTTAGGGGATTCATAGAGCTTCTCCAAAGATTTTTGTGGTGGAGGGGTATTTAGGTTAGAAGGTGGAGACAGTGGGCAGTTATGATGTGGATCCCCTGTTTCAATCAATACAATTCTACCTTTATCTCTTATTTTCCATGTGGACTTTCACTTAAGAAAAAGTTCCAATGAAATTTGTACTGGCTAAACTCAAAATTGCATGCTTTTTAAAATCAAACATTATTTAGAATTTAATTCAGTGCAATTCTTCAACAAATTTATCAATTTAAGTGTCTTCTATGTATCTAGCATTTTTTTCTGTGTATTTTAAATTATTCAGAGAAATAGAATCATACAGTAGCTTCTATGATTTAGTTTCTTTAATTGAAATAAAATTAACATATAATATTACATTAATTTCAGGTGTATAACATGATTCACTATTTGTATATATTGTGAAATGCTCATCACGGTAAGTCTAGTTAACATTTCTCACAGTACTAGTGTTTTTCTTGTAATAAGAGCATTTAAGATCTGTTCCCTTAGCAATTCTCAAATGTACAATATAATGTTATTAACTACAGTCACCATACTGTACATTTCATCCCCATGACATTTAAGTTATATCTGAAAGTGTGTACCTTTTGACTACCTTCACGCATCTGGCCTATTCCTTGGCCCCTGCCTCTGATAATCACTAGTCTATTTTCTGTACTTAGGAGTTTGGCAGTTTTGCTTGTTTGTTTTCAGATTTTACATTTACTTTACATGTAAGTGAAATCATATGGTATTTGTCTTTCTCTGACTTACTTCACTTGGTAAAATGACTTCAAGGTCCATCCATGTTGTCAGTTGGCAAGATTTTCTTTTTTATGGCTGAATAATACTCCATTGTATTTACATACCATATTGTCTTTATACATTCATGCATTGTTAGACACCTGCTTATATGTCTTGGCTATTGTTAAAAATGCTGCATAGAAAATGAGGGTGCATATATCTTTTTGAGTTAGTGTTTTTGTTTCCTTTGGATAAATATCTGGAAGTGAAATTGTTGAATCATATGATAGTTCTATTTTAAGTTTTTGAGGAATCTGCATAACTGTTTTTCATATTGGCTGCACCAATTTACAGCCCTTACCCCTCACTGTAGATGAGCACAAAGTTTTCCTTATCTTCACTTCCTCGCCAACACAGTTATTTCTTGTCCCCCCTCCCCCTCCCCGTCTTTTGATAATAGTCATTCTGGGGGCGCCTGAGTGGCTCGGTCAGTTGAGCGCTCGACTTTAGCTCAGATCATGATCTCACTGTTTGTGAGTTTGAGCCCCACATTGGGCTCTGTGCTGTCAGCTCAGAGCCTGGAGCCTGGTTCAGATTCTGTGTCTCCTTCTCTCTCTGCCCCTCCCCTACTTGTGCTCTGTCTCTCAAAAATAAATAAATGTAAAAAAATAAAAAAAAAAAAGAATAAGAAAAAAAATTAAAAGAAAAAAAAGCAACGAAAAAAGATAATAGTCATTCTGACAGGTGTGAGGTGACATCTCATTGTGGTTTTGATTTGCGTTTTCCTGATGATTAGTGATGTCAAGCACCTTTTAATGTACCTGTTCACCATTTGTATATGTTATTTGGAAAAATACCTATTCAGATTCTCTGCCCATATCTCAATGGAATTGGTTGATTTTTGTTTGTTTTTGCCATTGAGTTGTATGAGTTCTTTAAATATTTTGGATATTAACCCCATATTGGATCTATGATTTGCAAATATTTTCTCCTATTCAGAATGCTGCCTTTTCGTTTTGTTGATGTTTGCTGTGCAAAAGCCTTTAGTTTGATATAGTCTCACTTTTTATTTTTGCTTTTGTTGTCTTTGCTTTTGGAGTCAGATACAAAAAATCATTGCCAAGAATGATGTCAAGAAGCTCACTCCCTCTGTTTTCTTCTAAGAGTTTTATGGTTTGCAGGTCACGTTCAAGTCTTTAATCCATTTTGAGTTAGTTTTTGTGAATGGTATAAGATAGTGATCCTCTTTTCTTTCTTTCTTTCTTTCTTTCTTTCTTTCTTTCTTTCTTTCTTTCGTTTAATTTGGTTCAGTTGGGTGGTTGGTTGGTCGGTTGGGGATTTTTTTTGCATGTGACTGTCCACTTTTCCCAGCACCATTTATTGAAGAGACTATCTTTAGCCCCATTATATATTCTTGGCTGTTTTGTCATAAATTAGTTGATCATATATGCATGGCTTTACTTCTGGGCTCTATCTTGTTTCATTGATCTATATGTCTATTTTTAGGCCACTACCATAATGGTTTAATTACTATGGCTTTTTAATATAGTTTGAAATCAGGATGCGTGATGCCTCCAACCATGTTCTTTATCAAGGTTGCTTTGGCTATTTGAGGTCTTTAATAATTTTCTTATATTCAGTTTTTTAATGTTTATTTATTTTCAGAGAGAGAGTAGGGGAGGGGCAGAGAGAGAGAGAGAGAATCTTTAGCAGACTCTGCACTGTCAGCACAGAGCTCCATGTGGGGCTCAGTCTCACGGTTTGTGAGAATCAAGAATCAGACAATTAAGTGACTGAGTCACCCAGTCATCTCATTTAATAATTTTGGGACTACATCAAAATAAAAAGCTCTTGTACATCAAAGGAAACCATCAACAAAACAAAACAAAACAAAACAAAAAAACCCTACTGAATGGGAGAAGATATTTGCAAATGATGTATCTGATAAGAATTAATACCAAAATATATAAAGAACTTATACAACTCAACACCAAAAAAAACTAACAATCCAATTAAAAAATGGGCAGAGGACCTGAATAGACATTTTCCCAAAGAAGACGTACAGATGGCCAATAGACACATGAAAAGATGCTCAACATCACTAATCATCAGGAAAATGCAAATAAAAACAACAATGATATATTATCTTACACCAATTAGAAAGCTAAAATCAAAATGACAGGAAATAACAAGTGTTGACGAGGATGTGGAGACAAGGGAGCCCTCATGCACTGTTGGTAGGAAGGTGAATTGGTGCAGCCACCGTGGAAAACAGTATGGAGCTTCCTCAAAAAATAAAAGTAGAAATAACATATAATTTAATAATTCCACTACTGGGTATTTACCCAAAGAAAATGAAGACACTAATTTGAAAATATATATGTACCCCTATGTTTTTTGCAGCATTATTTACAGTAGCTAAGATATAGAAGTAACCTACATGTCCATCAATACATGAATGGATAAAGAAAATGTGACAAGTATACATATACACACGATGGAGTATTATGCAGCCATAAAAGGATGACATTGTGTCATTTGAGACAATGTGGATGGACCTAAAGTGTATTATGCTAAGTGAAATAAGTGAGACATAAAAAGACAAATACCATATTATTTCACTTATGAGTGGAATGTAAAAAAAATGAATAAACAAAAAGCAGAATCAGATCTATAAATATAGAGAACAAACTGTGGTTGCCAGAAGGAAGAGGAGTAGCATGTTGGGCAAAACAAGTAAGGGAGAGGGAGATACAGGCTTTCAGTTATGGAATGAATAAGTCATGGAAATAAAAGGCACGGTATAAGGAATCCAGTCAGTGATACTGTTAATAGCAGTGTAAGGTGGCAGATGTAGCTACACTTGAGGTGAACAGAGCATAACGTGCAAACCTGACAAATCACTAAGTCGATCATTGAAACTGCAATATTGTGTGTCAACTATACTCAAATAAATAAAGTTCAGTCTTTGCTCTTCTCTGCCATTGTGGTGTGTGTGGCTGACCGTTTCTCGCCATGCCTTCTCACAGGTCTTTCAGGATCAAGCGATTCCTGGCCAAGAAACAAAAGCAGAATCGTCCCATTACGCGGTGGATTCAGATGAAAACTGGTAATAAAATCCGATACAACTCCAAGAGGCGGCTTTGGAGAAGAACGAAGCTGGGTCTGTAAGGGATCGAACATGAGATGGCACACGTTTATGCTGCCTGAAAGTCATGTGTTTCTACACCATCACATCCTTACTGCCTGACCAGTAGATCTGTTTTATCAGGAAATTGACTTTTCTCTGTTATGATGTTTCTGCACCTATAGGTTGGTTCAGTAATAAACATGTGAGACCTCTTGGTTGAGGAAAAAAAAAAGGTCAA